GTCATGATCCCAGGGTCCTGGGATCGAGCCCTGCATCGGGCTCCCTGCTCCACGGGAAGCCTGCTTCTCCCTCTCCCACTCCCCCTGCTTGTATTCCCTCTCTCGCTGTGTCTCTCTCTGTCAAATAAATAAATAAAATCTTAAAAAAATTTAAAAAAAAAAGACCCCAAGCTGAGCACGGAGCCCAACTTGGGGCTCGATCTCACAACCCTGGGATCATGACCTGAGCTGAATTTAAGAGTCGGACACTTAACCCACTGCGCCAGCCAGGTGCCCCTGGGCAATGCTATTCTATTTCTTACCTCTTCACGATCAGTAATATCGGCGAGGCACTCAGAGTATGAGGGGAGAGAACTGTTAAATTTGTGACAAATTCTCTCCATCTATGCCAAAAATAGATAAGGAAAATTAAGTGTTTGGCCATGATCCCAAGTGGGTGCTTCTGCTTCTGAGGCTTAATTATGAGAGGCAAGAAACCAGGAGATCTTGGTTCTAATTGCCTTCTACCGATTAGTCTGTGTGTGTATCGGGGAAGTCCAAGAATTGATGTCTTCCTAGGTAACTCAAGGAGAGCTTGACTAAGTAACCTAAAAAGATAAGGGGAACTGGGGCCAGATTTCTAGCAATAAAACATGAAATGTGGTTTTGGATATTGTGTCATTTGCCCCCCATTTCAGCCCAGACCAAAAGAAACAAAAAAAGAGTGGCTCAGTCGTTAACGTCTGCCGTCGGCTCAGGTCATGATCCCAGAGTCCTGGGATCGAGCCCCACATCGGGCTCCCTGCTCGGCGGGAAGCCTGCTTCTCCCTCTCCCACTCCCCTGCGTGTGTTCCCTCTCTCGCTGTGTCTCTTTCTGTCAAATAAATAAATAAAATCTTTAAAAAAAACAAAAACAAAAAACTGTTCAAGGGTGGGAAAGAGATTACATATTTGAGGACAAAGAGTAATTTACAAACCAATACACATGAGAAGATAATGTATTCAGTATGAAAATTTATTCATAGGCTTCAAAGTAGTAAAGGAGGGAAAAATAAAAGAAACACAAGTCACCAAGACCAAGGAAAGGCTCATGTGCCTTAAGGGTGCTAATCTGGTACACTAAAAGGTACATTAGCTTTTTGGGGCTTTAAGGATGCCCATTTAAACCACCACAGTGTCGATTTATTTATTGGTAACCTTTACATGTGAGAAAATGAATGCCTTCTCAAATGTGCCTGTGACCCAAGGGAAACAGTTTACTCTTCTAATAGAATGAACTTTATGTCCTGGCAGTCAAGATACAAACAACCTCAAGTTAAAAACAGGTTAGGATTAACCGCCATTAAGAACAATTTAAAAAATTAATGGACCACTTAGAATTACAAATTTTACTTGTACAAAGGTTTTTTTTAACTATAAAATGAAACACACACAGAGATATAAAACCACTTGAAGGAATTATTAGAGCAGACACATTCAAAATGTATGACTTCTCAAAAACAAGCACTACTCACACTGAAGGTCATACCACCCCCAGACCAAACATTTTTTTGTTTTGTTTTTTACCAAATAGGACAAACAGTAATTTGAGGTTTTGTTCAAGTACATGATTGAAAATAGCAGTGAGATATTTCCAAAGCACACATAGGGGGTATTTAGAACAATTATAAGAATTTTACAGCCAACATTAAAAACACCTGGCAAGCTTTGAACAGGCAAAATGCTTTCAGCTAAATCATGGAACAGCACAGTGGTTGTAGCCTTAAGTGATTGTTGCTCAGTGGAACACAGGGGATTAGTCGTGACGAGTACTCGATAATTAAATGTGCACAAAGACTCAATTCTCCTGATTGCAATGCATTTCACTCTACTTCACATTATTATAAAAGGCATATGTGTATGCAAATGTGTTAATACATTTCTAAGTCTCTTCTTACTCTACTTTGTAAACTCAGATACGATGTAAAACCTTCTAAACACCAACAAAGAAAAAACAATTACAGCATTAGTTAAGGGTAGAAAAATGGCAGAACCCAACAGAACACAGATAATTCTTGAAGGTTAGAAATTAAAATGCATCTGCACATGTTAGTATTATTACTGAGGGCCAATTATGGTGGACTGATGACTGTGGATGGGCAGGAATAATCTTATCGTGTACCTGAGTATTCTAAGATGGCCTGCTTCTGTCCCTGTTTGGTTCCCAGCCATTTGCTACAGTCTCTGCCCTAGATGAAAGGCAAGTAGGTACATTTCTTCCCTGGGTGCTGGGCACAGTTAGCTAAAAAAAAAAAAAAAAAAAAAGAGGAATAAAGGGAAACAGCAAGGAAATGGATAGAAGTATAAATGTGTTCACAAGGAAATGGATAGATATAAATATAAATGTGTCAAAACAAAAGAAAATTACTTGTGATGAGAATAGTCTTCTGTAAGATTGCATGGGGCTTCCTCATCATTCTCAATGCAACTCTCAAAAGATAACTCCAACAGAAGAGTTTGTAAGCAACATTATGGTGGGTAAGAGGAAAAGGTGGGGTTCTCCTAATAGTTGCAAGCTTTCCGTAGAAGGCAATGTACCAGAATGATGTTGGACACTGATTTTATGGATTTAGAATCCAATTCAGTCCAGTGTACACCTTTGAGCTTCACTGTAACTTTTCATAATATTGAGCAACAATGTGATAAGGTATCAAAGAATGAAATATTCACTGCGAATAAGAGGAGGTTCACTCATGCATTTAATTAAATTAGATTATATTTATTTGAGAGAGAGAGAGCACAAGGAGGGGGAGGGAAAGGGAGAAGCAGTCTCCCTGGTGAGCAGGGAGTCAGACACGGGGCTCGATCCCAGGATCCAGAGATCACGACCCAAGCTGGAGGCAGACGTTTAACCGACTGAGCCACCCAGGAGCCCCTCATTCATGTATTTTAAAGGTAACGTTCCTCTAGGATGGCTAGAATTTTAAAAAGACATGGAAAATAAAAAGTGTTGGTGAGGATGTGAAGATATTAGAACTCCCATACATTGCTGGTAGAAATATAAAATATAAAATAGTTCAGCCTCTGTGGAAAACAGTTTGGTGGGGTTCATCAAAAGCTAAACAAGGAATTAAGCATGAGCCAGCAATTTTACTCTTATGTGTATACCCCAAAAGAACTTTTCTGAAAAGAGGTGTTCAAACAAAAACTTGTGCATTGATGTTCATAGCAGCACTATTTTCAATAGAGTCAAAAAGTCAAAACCACTCAAACACCCATCAACAGATGAATGGATAAACAAAGTGTGGTCTCTCCATCCAATGGAATACTATTCAGGCATAAAAAGGAATGAACTTCTGATACATGCTACACAACAGGAATGAACCTTATAAACATTACGCTAAGAGAAACCAGACACAAAAAGTCATATACTGTATGATTTCATTTATATAAAATATTCAGAACAGGTAAATCCATAAAAACAGAAAGCAAGTTGGTGGTTGTCAGGAGCTGGAAGGAAGGCAGACTGGGGAGTGACTACTTAATGGTTATGAAGTTTCCTTTTGAGATGATGAAAATGTTACAGGATATGACAGATTTGGTGGTGTCACATGTGAATATACTAAATGACACTGAACCATTTTTAAAATTATTAATTTTATATTATGTGAATTTCACAATAAAAAAAAGTAACACCTGTGCCTTATAGCAGGTCATGAGGCAAAATTGTTAATATAGTTGATGCCTCCATTCAACCAGTATTTACTGAGTCCCTACTATGCAAGATACTGTAAGTGATGAATAAAAAAACTGACACCGTTTCTGCCTTCAAGGAGCCTGGAGTGTAGTGGGGGAGACCAGATATTAATCAAATACTTACACAAATCAGCTAAATAGCAGGAAGGAAGGCTACACAGTGTTCGGAGAGCTGACCCAGCCAGGGCCACATGACCACCACACACAACACAAGCCTGATCAGACAGACCGCTCCTCCAGTCCCCACTTTAATAGTTTCCCACTGATCTTAAAACTGAAAATTAAAATCCTTACTCTGACCTGCAAGGTCTTGCAGAGCCAGGTCTCTTCCTCCTGCTTCTCCAACCTTGTCGTGCCCCAACCAAGCCTCTCCGCCTTATTTTCTCTGTTACAGCCCACTGACCTTCCTTCCATCCCACTTCCATTCTTCCTGCTCCAGGGCTCCTACTCCACATCGAATACTCTTCCCTCACCCCTGTACCTTCTTAACCTGTAGTCACCCTTCAGATCTCTCAACTGTCACTTTCTCCTGAAAGCCTTTCCTGATGGCAACTCAAATGAAAAGAGACCAATAACCTTTTCTCCAAAGTCTGCTACAGAGAATTTACAATGAACAAAACAAAATCTCAATTCAGGTTTTCAAAAAGCCCTAACTCCCAAGTCTCCCCAAAATTCTCGTCCGACATTCTGCCGAAGAAATCCTTTGTG